AGCCAACCTTATCCGGCATTTCATCCACTTTCTAAATACATGTACTTTGTCCCCATGATCCTCTTCCTATGCGTAACCCTCCCCCAACAAACATCCTGATCTGTCATTTGGAGTCCCCCCCATCCGTTACATTCTTCCCACATTCTGTATATATGTACATTTATATATGTCTAGACACTGTCTATACACTCATACATTTACATTACGGGAGTGCTCAGTACATATGTATATACTACAGGGTTAGTACAAAATACAACTCAAAACATTAACATTCAACTTTAAAGGCACCCATTATCAGTGCCAGTGCAAAGTTTCAAATTAATCTGACAAGGTTTCACTGTAATGGTCATTTGAAGTTCAGGGCATAATGGGTGTTGGCCTTCGTGCTTTGAGGAAGTCTGAGAAAAAAGTACAGATTTTTGACCGACCTATCTCAGAAAGTTTTTACAAACTTGGTGTGAAAATGACCACAAGATGTTACTAAATCAGCTCCTTGAGGCTCAGTACAGGAATAAATCCACTGTGGTGACACAGAAGACAAGGTGTGTGAGGGGGAGGAGTGGATTCCATTCCCCAGCTCTTTTAGGGTGAAACTATAATGTAAAATGAAAATTTACACAACATAAATTTTAATAAGTAAAACCTGCATCAAAATCACACTCTTCCACAGCATTTTTTAAACATCCAATGGATGTATCCTCAGAGTAAATGTGGAAGGGCACTATTTCCAGCAACTTAGCCAATTGCCCTCTGCCCAGGCTTAAAAGGCCTTGTCTGAATGGTCCTGTGCTGCCCCATCAGCAAATACATATGAAATATAACAGACCTTAGCCTTAAAATTGTTAAGACCTTAACATACATGTACATACTGGGTGAGTTAACCTGGGACCGAGTTGACCTGGAACAATTTGACTTGCAACTGAATTGACCTGGAATCAAGTTGACTTAGACCAAGATGAAAGGGAACAGATAATTTGATCTCATATACACTGTACGGTTCGTTGAGATTCACTGGATTCTCAGGAAGGCCCCCAGTAATGGTAGAAGTACTTCGCTTGAGTATGGTTGGGTTCAACTGTCAAGGGTGAGTTGATCACAACACCTGGCATAGCTTTTGCCATTATAAGGGGCCTCCCTGACTTGCAATGATGTGACAGATTTGTCTAAAGAAGCAAGACTCTGACGATCTGAGTAATTTCAACCTAGACATGAGTCTGGCTGGACTAAAGACAACAAAGAAGTTTTACTATATTTTGGCTGTGGGCCACAGTGGCAATAATTTAGGGATGTAAAAAGCATAAAGGACAGGAAATGGTCCATATGATGATGCACCAAACAGTCCACACTACAGTTTCTCTGCGACATTCCGCAAACCAGTTTTCTCTAGTGCCTCTGCCAACGCTGCTTTGGTAGCCGCTGCACCTTGACTTCTCTGCCATGCCAGCATGATTTGGAAGGCTATTTCTTGCCGGCCCCCGAGAAAATGGTCACCCTCGATGTTCTCAATGTGGGCTTCTAGGAGGCCTAGATTCCGGCCCAAACGTTTGTACTTCTTCCCTATGTGCTCGTCTAGGTCACGGATGTCTTGTTCAGTGACAGACTCATTGGAAGCTGAGGTAAATTGCAACAACAAAATTTTGTAAAAGTTAAAAACACCAAAATTTTGAAACAAAAAAGTCACTGGGTACCTTTCACAACAGGAATAAAAACATTTTTCCTTCAATATGAATTTTGTACATTTGGGCGTCACATTGTTACAATGTGGAATCACCTATGGGCCTCGAGCTAGACCAAGAGAGGGTGCTATTTCCTCAGCAATGGAACTGTACATTGCTGGTTCATGAATGACTAGGACATGCAAGTGTTTCAGTCGCATTGCTACCAACAAAATGAATAATCCCAACCAACGCAGCTCTTTTCAATCGGTGTATTGGGGTGCTTCTACTCGAGATGGATTAGGGAGACCAGGGCTAGTTGTTACAGGAGAAAGTTGTTACACAAAAATCTACTCAGGAAGCTTTAACCCAAAACTGCATAATTGGCAATTTACACAACGCTTTGATAAAAAAGAGGTCAGCGAACACTCTAACCCCAACCCCTGAACACTGACCCAATTAAACCCCCAACCCAAGCCCACCCCAAAACCATCACAAGCTGAAGTCACCCAAACCCCCCCAATCTAACCCCCTACCTGAACCCCACAACTCCAACCCCCAACCACAAACCCCAAGCCCTACCCTGAATCCAATCCAACCCTGAACCAAACAAAACGAGGGGATTGTATGACAAATCCCCCCACAGCAGTGTGGGACGAGTTTACTCGAGAATACTTACCCAAACAGCAAATACCTACGCCTATTTCCCTGGTGCTGTCAGGCCATTTTCTAAAGCTTGATCAACCGTAGTGTGCCCCTTATCTACCAAAATGCATATCAGGGCCACACCCACACTCTCCCGTCTTTTTTGTAAGTGCTCCTGAATCAAAGCCATAGTGGGGTGGTGGGCAGGAGTACTGTTCAGTTAAGTATCCTCTAGTAGACTCATTCCACAGTGCTGGGGGGGGGGCAGAAGTCTACAGCATTCATCTTACCCAAGCACATCTATGCAGAATAGTATAGTTATTTTGCAGTGGGTATTGGTGAGGATGCATAAACTTGTGGGTTTGATTAGAAAAACCCTGTGAAGGAGATATTTACTACCCAGTGCGCTATAGTGTTCCGTGCTGCTGGCCATGACAAAGGGTTGACATGTAGCTCTCCCAAGCCCTTAGGTTCCTGACTTGTAGCACATTGATTAGGGTCCTCACTGGGCACCAGAGCTTGTAAGGTTACGTAGGAGTGCAATACATGATTTATATCTGTGTCATGAACATCGCCCCTAAGTGTCATTTGGTGTCAGTACACCCCCTCTGCCGCCCCACTTTTCGAATTTCCATGGCCATGCAAATCAACCCCCCCATTCCTAACACAAATTGAAGTTGCTGCATGATTATATCCAACCACTGGAGGTGTGGTTGGATATTGACCCTGACAGGAACCAGCTAGTCGATGAAGTCTCCTTTGGGACGGTAATATACTGACAGGTGGGTTTCCCCTGGTCTCATTCATAGCCGGCACCATGGAACAAGGTCCATCAGGCTTGCCATTAGCTCCAGTAAGTGGAGCCATCCTCTTGCTGACAGTGCTGGACTTGACAAGAACATTTCTATGCACTGCTAAAGATTCTTCTGTCGGGGTTGCTATGCCCCATGTGAGGTCGTGGACCGCCCTCAGGAAGGTCAGGTTTTATAACAGGGCAGAGTTTGATTTCTTGTGATTTATAATAAACCCCAGTTATGTCATAGGATGTAAGTGGGGGCGTATGGCTTCTGTGGTTTCTGTTATGGACCACCTACTATTAAACCAGTCATCATCCAGGTATTGAAAGATTATGGTATCTTCCTTTCGGAGGTGTGTGCCATCAAAGGCCACTCCAGTGAAGACCCTTTGATGATGTGGATAGCCCAAAGGGGAAGGCAAAAAACTTGAAGAGTTAATTTCTGTACATGAATTGCAGGTTTTAATGGTAATCTGGACAGATGGAGATATATGGGTAGGCTTCTTTCAGGTCTAAGGATGATGCCCATGCTGGTATTGGCATCAAGTCCATGACAGTATGAAGTGTTGCCATTCACAATAAATGAATGACCTTGTCCAGCAACTGTAAGTTTATGATAGGCCTCCACTCCTATTGGCTCTTCTTTGGGGTTTAAAAGAAGGTTGACGGGAAACCAAGATATCCCTTTTCTAGATGGAAAATCTGGATAGCTTGTTTAGTTGAAGGGAGTCAATTTCACCCTCCAAAGCTTGGCGCTTCTCTTGTTGACAGGGGTCGGGGTTGTGCCAAATTGAGCTTTGGATGGAGGGGGATTTGGCTGACTTCTGCAAACACCCATTTGTCCAAAGGAATCTCTTTCTAGAACCTTATGTGAGATCTTAGATGCTTCTTGATGGCTTTAGAAAAGGGGACTGGCGCCAAGGTGAAAAAGTCACTGTAACCATCTCCCTGAGTACCAGGCGATTGGCGGCTCATTCCTTTGAACTTTGTTACTGGGTTGGGGCATGGGTGACAGGGTGCGTGTCCTCATGGTGCCACCACTGTAGCACCTGGCGTACTTCCTGCAATTGGCGAGGGAGTGCTGAAAATGGCTTATGACTCTAAGGGCAGAAGGAGGGGCCAGTTCTGGAGTCTGCTTTGACATTGTATGGTCTGACAGTACGTTTGTGTAAGCTGAGGATTTCATGGTGTCACTTCTTTTCACCTTCATGGATTCTTGGAATGGAACTGTAAACAGGTCCAACAGAGCAGTAGGAGACCCTAGAGTCTTGCTTTCACTCTCTCTCATGGGACAGTTTCCAAGGTGTTTATTTGCCAAGAGGTCACCAGCAGGGAGATTCTAGTGAAAATGGTCAAATATGGTGTGTGGTCCTTCAAGGCATTTGAAGGCTACTGTGAGTAGGTCAGCAAAGACCAGTGATCGATTGTTCCTCGCATGCACAGACAAAATACATGTATTCCTGTGATGGCAACGTAACTGAAACAGCTTGCTGTGCTCCCGAAAATTCAACAAAATTAATCCAACGCACAAATTCAAATTCTAGCCTTTTGAATACTCGTCATAATTCCTAAATATCACTGATCATGGCCGAGTCAACTGAGTCAACAAAATTCTACCAAAAATCAGAGGAATCGGCCATAAAAAACAGAGCCTTCTGTGTCACCATCAGGTGGCAAAAGACAACATGGCCACCATGCCTATAAATACATGCAAGAGAGATCCTGGAATCACTGGTTAGCATGGGCTCCAGATTAGCCAGACTGGATATCAAACTGCTAGATACCACTGACAAGGTAACTGAACATGAAGAGACAGAGGATCTGAAATCGTCAATTTCATTCACTGAAAATCAGTTTCAGAAGAAAACAGCACGTCTCCCAATGGTAATTACGGACACATATGTCAGCTCAAAAATTAAATCAATGATCTGCAAAGCAGAAGCTTCAGAAACAAAGTCATCATACATGGTATCTCCGAAGGATCAGATCGGAGGGCAACCAGTCATGTGAAGCCTTTCTAGCTGATTCTTCTCAACTCACATGAAGCAGGAACACCGCCATGACATAGAATTTGAGTGGGTCCATCGTACCCAGGCCCCGGGTGGACCTATTGGCATCTCAACAAGGAAATGACCCCAGGAAAGCAAGACCACGTCCCATTCACTGTAACCTGCTACACTTTACTGACTGTCAACACATCCAAAAACAGACTTCAACGGCTCTCTGCAACAATCCATACAAAGGATCACATATTTTCATTTCTGACGATGTAACCAGTAACATCAGGAATGCCCACAAACAGCTGAGGAAAATCACCCTGGTGACGTTCAGGTGTAGTTTACATTCGTTAATTCTGGTCAGTTCCTGCAGTCATCACTTACAAGCTGCAGAGTGATGCTTATGGTCTTCCATCTTGAGGATGCAAATTTGTCCCTAATAAATCTTTGCAATTTAGCTAAACATCAGCTGAACACATTCAATCCATATAATACATGATTAGTAATATTTATGTCTTATTTTTGTGTATGTGCTAGAGTGAAACCAGACCAATCTGTAACACTTTTTTGGCCAACTACATGTATTTCACTAAATATTTTGTCAAACTGGATGGCAGTTAATGAAAGTGATAATAGAAAGATTACCTTTAATATCCATTCAGATATTGACCCGAACATACATTTAAATTCACCCACCATTACATGTAAATATTACGATCATGACCAGTGTTTGAACACATATGCTTGTAATACAAATATTAAACTTTTGCATATCAACGCACAGAGTCTATCAAAAATATTTGCAATATTAGACAATTGATTTCTATTTTAGACAATAATTTTCCTATCACTGGTACTTCCAAGACCTGGTTAAATCTTGACGATCCTCTTGTGAGTATTCCAGGTTATGTCATTTAAGGCTTTTACATACCCACTAAAAGAGGTGGTTGTGTTGTGCCCTATATCCAAGAAGACTACAACTATAAGATTAGAAATGACATTAACATACATGTATGCACGCTAGAAATTGAATCATACATTATTGCGACAGAAAACTCAATGTGAGAATAATTTACAGGTCCCCGATGCCTCCTCTGCTAGTTTTGTGGAATTATTTAATGAAATTTTCGGTAGCGTGGATAATGAGAACAAACAGTATTATTTTATGGGCGATTTTGATATAAGCATTATCTCTGGCACAGATAACGCTGTACAATGCTATACAAACAAGCTGTTTGTGCATTCTTTCCATCCAGCCATCTATAAACCTGCCAGTCACAGGTGAAAGTTCTACTTCGATAGATATATGTTTTTAAAAATGATTTCTCCAATCAAATTGCAGGTATCCTTATGACTGATACAAGTGATAATTTACCTGTCTTCATTACAATAGGGACAAATATACAACTAAAAATTTGAAAACTCCCATAATTGTTAAGCGTAATTTCAGCTAAAAAAATATTCAGCACCTAAACCAATATCTTAATGACATTTATTGGCAGGAATTACTTGCGCCAGATGTTGATGAGACCTATGAGAATTTCTTTAATTATGTGCTGTACCTTTACGATAAATATTTTCCAGTGTGTGCTCCAAGGTTGTATTAATAAGTGAAAATCACCTCGGATAATGAAAGGAATTTATTATTCAATCAGAGAAAACTATCTGTATACAAAATGTCTTCAGAATCCAACAGTTCATAATAAATACATTAAGTTTAAAACAAGTTGACAGGTGGAATAAAAATGGCAAAAATAGAAATAAAATGTCAAAGAAACATGAAAGCTTATTAATTTGCTACTCGGTAAAACAAATTTTAAACAAAATCCAGAAGCTGGTTACACCCTCTAGCTATTCTTACTAATAAATTGTTTGTCACTGCGCATTTTCCTGAAGAATTAAAACTTGGAAAAATGGTATTTCTCTTCAAAAAGGGGATGAACATGACATAAGTAATTACCGACCTATAACCAGATTATCGGGTTTTTTTTCCCAAGGTATTTGGAAAAATAGTGGAGAATTGCTAGATGCATATGGTCTGTTATCAGACTCTCAGTTCGGGTTTTGAGCAAATCGTTCTACAGAGTTCGCAACTATTAGTGTCTTAAAACAAAATAATAAATGCTCTTGAAAACAGACATTTCTCTGTTGGCGTAATCCTGAACTTGTCTAAGGCACTAAATACTTGTATTTATTTATTCATTTATATCTGATCATCCAACAGCACATTTAGTGGCAATTACAGGATGATGATGAGTGAGGACGGCAATGATGAAATGTTTATTTTTCAGAGGTGGGAGGAAAACCCCAGATAAATGTTTTGGGAAAACCCATGGACTAAGGTATGGACTGAAAACCAAATCCATGTGTGGACCGAGCCGCATTTGAACCCATATCCCCAGAGGTGTAAAGGAAAGAAATACTGTCCCAACCTGACTCCCCTGCTGTGATACTGTAAATCATGACAATCTTATCCACAAATTGGAGCATGTTGGCATGCGGGGAATCCCCTTAGACTGGTTCAAGAGTTACTTGTCAAATAGGAAGCACTTTGTTTCAATTAACTCCGTTACTACTCCCTCATTATTTATCATATATGTGAATATTTGAAATTCTTCTGAAAAAATTTCCTACTGTCTTTTTGCTGATGACAAGGCCATTATATAACCATCATAATGTAAATACAGCCAACAGCAATCTAAATAAAGAACTTGTAAAGGTGAATCAATTGTTTTGATAAACTCTCAGTTAATTTACTCAAGACAAACTACCTGATTTTTAACTCTAGACAACATAAATATACACAAAATACCTCCCTCTGACTGCGTGGTGCTGTTCTGAACCAGATCAAAAGTACTAAATTCCTGGGTGTTCACAGTGATGAAAATCTCTCTTGGAGTAAACAGATCAACGTCTTGAGTACTAAAATCTCAAAAAATAATGCCGTTATGAATAGATTTTAAAATTTGCTACCAAAACTATACTTTTAATGTTATATAATACCCTTATTCTTTCCTATCTAAATTATGCCATTCTTACTTGGACAGCTTAACCCCTCAATGCAACAAGCTATTTCTTTTGCAGAGGAGACTTGTCTAAATTATATCAAAAACAAGTTGTCTAACTCACACAACTCCATTATATATGGAGCACGGAACACTAAAAATAAAACTAAAAAAACAACCTTAATTAATATGCATCTAACAAGACTCTTAACCCTAAATGCATTTACTAGAAAACTTAAAACCTACTTTCCCAGTTTGTATAATGAAGATCTGGTCATGGGATCACGTCAATCTACTTCCATTCTTAAAAGGTCTGGTTTCAACTGATAGCATATCTGTCTTACTATTGGCTGTCCTGTCAGTGTATCATACTTATATTGTATTGACTCATGTCTCCTGTCTTATATTTTTTGTCCAGTCTGAATCGTTTGTGTAATAGGGAAAGCCAAAAACACAGTGCTTCTTTTTTCCCTACATGTTGGTTATAATTCAGATTATGTACAGTTATCAAACTTAACAACATGCCAGTTCTCATCAACTGTGTGTAGCAAATTTCATTATGTAGGTATGATATTGATGTATTTGGGATTTCTTTTGTCGCCAACATGAAATAAATGTCATCTTCCAGTTCTTCCTATTCCCACAATGGAGTGCGTTTGTAATCCAACAAGGCCAATCCAGTTTTGTGAGTATATCATCTCACTGTCTTATCATGCTCGTTGAAGGTGAGGTCTCCATGTATTTACCTCCACAAGGTTTTCCATTCACTCAAAACTGAGGAAAGACAGGAGGCCTTCACTCCTGAAGGGGCAGTATGGCACTTGAAGGATGCCCTGTGTTTTCTTTGGGTTGTGCTGTGGAGGGCAGCTGAAGAGCCTGTACCATCTCTCTGTATTAGGCCAAGCTGAGTTTATACATGTACATGAGGACAGGCCATTCATATTCAGTAAGTCCTCCTGGTCTGAAGAAAGTCCTGATGACGATGGGCAGGGGTGTAGCAAAGGCATTTCCGGGGGAGGGGGGTGCCAGAGTCAATGTGCCAACTTGTAACTTGTTCGCCAACCTCATGTTGTGTAAAATGGAATCCACGGAATGCTACATTTTATGCTTCAGGGGAATGCTAACGGCCAACGTATATTGTTTATGTACATACATGTATGTTGGATTCATTTGCAGACGGAAGCTCTATTTGCCAACTGGAATTAATGTATGGGGGCATGCTGCACCCCCCTTCCCCCATCACTACGCCCTGGCAGCAGGCTGATGGCCTTGCAGTATCCTTCTCATCCTCCATTTCAAGATCGGAATCCTGGATTGGCGCTGAAGGATGAATGGATAATGAAGCCTCCCTGAGTGATTTGGGTGCACGTTCTCTATGTCCACGGATAGTGGGAACAATGGTCCCATCACCTGTAATGGTTGGTGGCGTGGTGGGCTGAACATGGTCCGGAGCAGATCTGTCAATTCCTAGTAATGGGATTCTAGGTAAGGGAAGGCATGGCTGAGGCCACGGCTGTGGTAGATAGAGGGTGCACTACAATCGATCAAGCTCTTGGAATGGCCTGATGGCGTAACAGAAATATGTATAAGTAGATGGCATTTGGACATTACATCTGTTACATAAAGCTCATGATTAATGGTCATTTTGGATTGAGAATGTATGATTGAAATTTAAAGAAATAAGAAAATGAAGCATGTACTTCTTGTAAAATTTATCTTTTTGTTGTAAAAAATTAAAACAAATCTGATTGACTGATCAGTCAATCATGAGAAAATAAGGAGAAAACATTGATCAATCAATCCATTAATCATATGAGAGATTAACAAATGTTTTTTTATGTCTTTCTCAAGTTCAGGGTCAAGTGTGTCTTTGAAGTTTTTAGTGAATTGCCTAGAGACCAAGTGCCGATGACCAAACATAACAAAAGAAAACACCTGGTAAATGCCTAATTCTTTTGCAGCTTTCGTTTGTGATTCAGGGAATAATCTTAATCCATAGGTTCTGCCTGGATCTGCTTCCTGATAAAAGCAGCAGAACCTTTCCTACTGTACATGTAGCTTTAGAAAGCTTCGGGAGTGAGTGTCTCATGTATGGGAACGGTTGGATTGTTCTCTTTGGAATGCTGTGTTTACGTTTCCGAATGTGGGGCTTTTCCGCTGGAACTTCCATCTGGAATGGATGAGAACACTGTGCTCCCATTGAACTATTCCCAATTGCGTCATGTCAATTTACTAATGTACCAACAACCTTTGCCCTATTCATATTGTCAGAAATAGTGTCAAAGGATATGAGCCTATAATGTGGCAAAGGAGGGCGAGTTCTCACTTACGACCATTCTAATTAAAGTTTATCTTTAGTGTAGTTTGCCCGGAGTATTATGGGACAAAGACATTCCAGTATACTGCAAATGAAAGTGGACTGTTGCAAGAGGTTTTGATAATCTGATAATGGAAGTTACGTTATGGTACAAAAACAAAAGGCACCCTCGGGTCTAGGCAAGCTACAGTAGTACTACGTCTGCATGGTATTACCTTGTTCTCAGTGAAAACAAGAATAATAGGAGAAATGCGGTGTTCAGTCTACTGCGGCAGACACCCAGTACACAGTGTCAGTGCCACGATGAATGCCAGAAATTTGTGCATTGGATTCCGAATGAGATAGCAGAAATATTCCACTGGTAACAAGAATATGCCACTGGTAACACGGCATTCCCATGGGAATGCTGCCTTTGAGCAGTGTATGTACATGTACAACACAGACCATTCTGTGATACTAGAATTTTCCAATGGAACACTTCCAATGGGAACAGTCCAATAGAACGTGAATGTTCCAACTTTTGAGATGCACCCTGAAGTCTAGGCAACAGACTTACTAGTTATGGAAGGTCCTGGTACTGAGGAATCTGTTTCATCCGATGAAGAAGATGATGATGGAGTGGGACTTCTTGTCTTGTACTTCTTCTTCTTCTTCCTTTCTCTGTGCTTTTGTTTGTCCACTTGTACTGTATTCTTCCCTCGGGAAACCGTGATAACATTTCCATCGCCTTTAACATTGATGTTTATTCCACTAGCTGGGGAAAGCAATGAGTGAAATCAGAAAGGGCATAGTTATAGATCCAGCAAAGAACAAAACTCCACTGTCAAAAGCTCCATTTTTGTACTTTGTTGGATGAAAGGAATTGGGGTGCAAGTAAACAAAACAGATTTTTAAAATCCATAGAGGCCTGTTGCCGTGGAAATGGCTCATTTTGTGTTTTAGACATTTTAGTCTGTTTTTTAGCTTATGTTAGAAAGTCCACCTAATGCAACAAATTTCATGAAGCCACTTATATCACTTTAAAGGATCATCCTTGCCTCTATTTGAGAACAAATATTGCTTTAGGTGTCTTTGTGTAAAGTGCATTATTGCTTTAAGTCTGCCCTGTCTTTTCAAATGTGGTAAGAAAATCTTGGGCAATTACATCCTGCTGTGACAGTATTGCCTCAGATATCGTCATTTTTCCCAAAACCGAAAGTTGCATATTTATATTTTTCCTCAGTTTGAATCAATAATATGATTTTGTGATTCTGGCACTGTTTTTACAGTAAATCATAGTAAATAAGTAATACATAGTAAATCTAGTATCCCACCGAACTCTAGCCCACGATTTGCTGTATTGAGTTGCTGGGTTGTTATCACATAGCTTTTGTACAGGTACATGCATAGCTCCCATTGAAAGGAGAGACCTAGTGAGAGAGCACACATTACAAGTTGCCCCATGTAGCCTTCCAACAGTCTCTCTGTCACCTGCCTGTCACCCATTGTCAAAATTGTTATTCTTCAGCCCAAAACAAACAAACATTTGCACAAATCTGTTGGGAAAAATGTTATAGCAGTCAAAAAACATCTTGGGCTTCAAAGTGAGCCCCAACCCCCAAGATATCTCACTGGCTAAAGCATCTTTTTTGCCCATCTGTCAGCAGTTTCCACATTTAGGGCAAAGCTTCATTGGAGTTAAGAGTGGTGGAAATAAAAAAAAGCATCAGTTTCCTTTAGCATGGATTGACAATTCAGCTCAAAATATTTGATGATGGTTTCCGGTGATCTTTCTCTTAGCTTAACCAAATGCATTAGTAAATTAGTCAGATACGGTATGAAAAACCCCAAAGGTTCTACATGTATGCCTGTTTTAATGATACAAGGGGATTTTTTACATTTTCTTGTTTGGGGGATAAAATGCACTTGCTCATTTCAATACTTCTACATTTCAAATTCACAACTTTTCTTTTCAAACATACTCCAGAGCTATACAAATCAGGAAAGGGAAGGCAACTTATTGCCATGAGTTGTAGGAATCATTGTTAAACATTAAAAAGAGAATCCTGTAATTTCGTTGTGGGAAAAAATACAGTGGCCAGGAATCAAGCCCAGGTCTTATGGTGCATTTTGGAAATGAGTGGATTCAGCTTAGACTTTGGTTTCACTGGTTCCAGTCAGAGCTTGAACATATAGTTTCGAATGCTGCTTCAAAATGGCTGGAACCAGCGAAACCAGAATCTAAGCCGAAACCGCTTCTTTGGAAAATGCTCTAAGTCAACAACCCAGCATCTAAACCGCTGGACCACAAACAAAACCAAACTTTTGTTACTAAAACTGCATCAGATTGATTAGATTGTTGAAGAAGTGTATGCATTAAATACATCTTCTTTCAGTTTTGGTTCATACATATCTCTTTCACTTATCTTGCAAATCACGTGTATTCATATTGAGATTGTGGCAAACTATTTTTACACTTTGACGCTGAGACTGTAATTTCCCTGATCTGATGAGTTCACAAATATTGAATGTATTTGACGTTATGTGTCATCCAATCCATCCCTTATCCCGAGTTTATTCTCCACCCAGTGGAGAATCAGGTTTCGCCACTAGCCAGTGTGCAAACGTTGCTGCTACAATAAAGAGCCTGTCCCCATCCTGGTCCCCGATCTGAATCAATTTGATGATCATGCAGTAGCTGATGCCATCAACAACCATTTCACCTCCATAGTGACAGATCTTTAAGCTTTAGACATAGCAAATTACCATCTGACCTCCCTGCAGAGAGACAATGTCCAACTGTATCTACATGGCAGGTAAAGAAGGCCTTTGAGAATGTTACAAAAAAAATAATAATTCAGCTGGAGGACTTGACAAAATCTCTGCTCATTTCACTTGCCTTAATTTGGTGGAACCAGCTACTCCCTTTGCCTGTATCATCAACACTTTTTTTCTGGAAATGTTAGATCCCATGTGAGCAGAAACGTGCATTGTTGTACCAGTTCCAAAATGAAGCCTACCAAATGAGTGACGAATGAGGCCCACAAAAAAGCAGAGTGATTTACCCAGAACGTCACACCACACTTGGATATAAACCAATTTGGGAACTGTTGAGGTCTGTCTATTGATCATTATCTCACAAATATGCCTTGCCTTCTGAATTCAAGCTAAAGTCAACCGCCACAGTAGTCCCCACTGACTTCACAAAGGTATTCAACAGAATGGTCAACACGACTGCAATCAGTCATCTGATAAGTGCACTCCCATAATTAATTGACTGAACAAAGCCCAAATTTTATTTTTTTGATTCAGTCATTGTTTTTATCATTGCAGTGTATAATACACTCTTAATACATTATTCATTTTTTAAAATTACATTTTAATTGTTGGTGTCTTGTGGTTGTGCTGTTATTAGTGATTTTTATCATAAATGACACTCACTTCAGCCTTCTGGAAGTGGTTTTTTTAATAAACCAATATGAATGAATAAATAAAACCATGAAGAAAGCAAGTCAATACAGAAGGCAAACATTTATATTTGTGAGAGAGGGGTTCACTTATTGTCATGCACATACCATTGTTGCCTTTTGGGGGCTCCCTTGGGTAAGGATCAGGAACATTCTGGGAATATAAAATATACATGTACATTAACACAAAAGAAGTGATAAGAGAAAACTTGATTTAAGTCAATGACTGATCCTGTTTTGTTCGTGTGACACCACTTGACACATCGTGAAATATGAAACAATTCCTTAGGGCTCACTCAACACCATCCTGATATTGTCAAAGTTCTCTAAAATACTAACTTGAAGGATTTGCTCAAAGCCTCAATGTATGGTCAAAGAGAGAAGGTAAAATGAGTGACCTCATTTTGAAAGTTCAGTTTCACTGTCAGCCAAGGTATGGAATGAAAAATCATTCTTTTAATTAAAGGTGAAGCTTAATTCACTGTGGGCAAGTAGTAAAATTAGTTTATAGTCTAAACAAACTGAAACTCCCCCACCATATTTTAATCACTTTCTTAATATCTAAAGGCCACTGTTCTAATAGCTTCTGGAAACTGCCGCATCCTAACAACTCTAGCTAGGGTTAAATTTACAACAGAATTAAACTTTAATTACCGTTTGGTGATAAGTTTTAGACTGTCTGTTTTCTAGATTTGGAGGAGATAGTTTTCCATCTGCCGGGAAAAAAGACATTGAAACATTTTAACACAAACTCAGATGAAGTGACAGAAATGAGGAAGACGTTCTGACAGACAAAGCTGGAGAAAGATGGGGACACCTACTCCTCTATATTTTAGAATAATGTACATCTAGTTACAGATATTTTATACTTAATTCGAAAAATATCTTAGTAAATTTTACAATTATATCAGTAGAAATGAGCTATTATTTGTCTATGTAAATGGACCACTGACTGTCTTCAGGAAAAAGTCAGCCACAAGCACAACAAAGCAAAAGGAACAGAACAGAATCCAAGTCAAAATCTAATACAAATGACATGATGGAAAAATAACATGCACAGCAATTTTTCATATTCACACACAAGGCACAAACCATTCAATATGCTAATTACTGACTCGCGAGAGTTGCACCCTACAGAAAAGAATAAAAGGCATGACAAGGGAGTGCTCAACCATGCTAGTCAGTCTCTTACACTGCACATAATGATACCACTCATTGGACAGAAATCGCAGCATATCTGAAAAATGTCTCAGATTTCTAAAGACAGCGTTCCATCACACAATCACGTGGTTTGTTTCCTATTCTTCCAAACGATAGGGACCTCTGTATTCGTTTTTTTTTTCATGTGGAAATTCTTTATGACTACTCAATGTTAAATGAGTCAAGTATGAATAGCAAACCTTATTCATGAAATTCCTTTAAGAAAGAATATTGCTTTTTATGCACATTTTCTTTCCACACAGGAATAAATCCACACAAGTCCTGAAATTGAAATAATTCATTTGCCAAAACAATAACTGACAGCTGACAATGAAAACTTACTCGTTTTTTTGTAGATACAGACATGTAGTGTTTTCAATGACAAAAGCAATTTCTGATAGGAAAGTGTGTGATTCAACTGCAACTTTTTGAGGGGTTCTTTCTATTTAATATGATGATTGATTTGCTTGATCAAGTTGAGATTGCACACTGAGTGCACTGTCAGTGAGCAGGGCTTGGTTTGCTCTCATCACAAGCAGCACTGATTAAATGAAACACAAGGGAATATAAGCAGTATGATTTTGCCTCTGAAACATGAATGGCAGTTACATATATATGGTAGTCTATGGAGGTAGGCATCCCCCAGTCAATGAATGCCACCCTTGCTGGAAGTGGTAAGAATTTGGGATAACTCAAAGCTTGTACATGGGAAACCTTGGTTACTGACAGCCCATTTACCTGCGCCCTTTTTTAGGGTTCTGATTTGACTACACCTGGGACTCCTTTCCTAGTTTCTTCCCCTTTTTTCTCTCTGTGTTGTTTCCTTATGTGCTTTGTTGCACTTTTGATTCCTTCTCCTTTGCAGCCCTAAACTGTATATGAGTTTTTTGTTTTCGTTTAAATAGTTTTTACAATTCTTGTTTTTAGTTATAATTTCCTTTACTTGAATGTACACTGTGTGTCTGTTATTTATGCCAAATAATGTTTTATTGCTCTCGAAAGACTGATGTTTCCATTGTTAACTGGAACCAGTGTAGAATGGATCGTGTGTCGGACAAAAGGATACTTGTGTTCTTGTAGTTCTGCCTGAAGTAATTTCTTGCCGGAACTGTAAGTAAAGGCTTTAAAGAAAACCTCTAACCTCTCTCTGTGTTTGATTCATTTCATGACAGATTACAGTACATTCTGACCTTACTGTCAGAACACTATTTCACGGCATGAGGTTTCTTTTAGTGTAATAAATCAAAGTTGAATTTGACTTTCACACCATGATTTAGCTCCATCTTTAGTGAAAATCATGTTCATATTTAAAGTATGCAAATGATATTCCTCTGACCCCTAAACGTCATCGTGATACTCAGTACCGGCCAAATTGTGTGTGTGCATGCACGTGTATGTGGACGTGTGTAAGTAGGGAATGTACTTAGCTGAAGTGTATTTTCCCAACATTATTTTATACTTTGGTGGATTATTATTATTAATGAGCATGCCAAAGTCCTGCTTGGTCGATGGATGTTTTTGGAATTGCCCAAAAATCCCTAAGTTTGTTTTGTGAGGTTTCCAGAGAGGGATTTAAAGAAACGCAGCAAGTGGTTCGGCTTTGTCAACCAAATCCCACACTATCAGATTTCAAGTTAACCAAGTGGTCTCTGATGTGCGGTAAACATTTTGCAGAAAACGGTGCTGATGAATCAATCATACTGAAGACTCGATTGGGTTTGAAATCTCAGTTTGGACTAAAAAAAGGCTCAGTCCCAATGCTGAAGTCTCCCTACCCTGTTGCAAATATTCCAACTCGGAGTTCGACATTGCAGCAACCCGGCATGTCTGGAGAAGTATTTCCCAAATGACAATAGTAGAATATGAAATTGAGGAAGCATCCTTTTTCAATATAGCAGGTCCACTTTGTTAAGGGCCTGTAGAACAACTTACCTTCTGCAGGATAAACACCTTCTTGCTTGCTGGGTGGAGACTTAACTGTTTGCCCAGAGGAGAGAAGCCTGTGATGTTGGTCACTAGATGCAAGATGGTCTGTGAGGCTGTCTGTTTCATACTGGGACTTGCAGTTGGCTGGTACACTTGTGTCTGGAACAGATGCAGCGGCTTGTCCAACACAAGTAGGCAATTGTGTTGGTTCATGAGGTGAAGTTTCCGCCATGCCATACTTATCACCTTGGTTAGATTTGGAGAATCAGAAAATGACAAAAATGATTAAATGAAATACAAAAACATAAAACACAAACCACAAACACCCCTAAAATGGTGCCAAGAAGGATATACTTGCCTCTTTGTTCTCAAAAGTAGATTTAGAAGTAGATTTAGTAGTAGATTTAGAATCAAGGGACTTTGTACAAGAATCCAAAGAAAACACGCACTGCTTTATCTGTCATATTATGTGTCCTTCCTGCTCTCAAATGTGTACATAGTAAAATATATTCAACAACCACCACGAAGTTTGACAGCCTGCAGTGTTGTATTCAAGTCCATTACAAGTCCCCGTATGTTCATCACTTGTCCAACAAGTCATTCAGTCTTTAGCCAAATCACAACCTATTCAAATAAGCAATATTCTGTTGTCATTGTTCACCCTGTTACTTATGACTGGCCTTCGGAAGGGACTTGTGAAATGACTAGTGATGGACTCAAATACAACACTGTGAACTTGTACTTATAATTACAAAGAAGCTTCTCAGAAAACAGGTAATATTGAAGATAAAAACACTTTGACACTTGTTTATCTTTCAAGAGCATTGTGGGGAAATTGAATAGACATCAGCAACTGAAGTAATCAATAACCCACACACACCCAGCAACTGAACTGAAGATATTTTACATTGCTGATTAAAGGATGGATCACCAACATGACCAAAAGTGAGCGACAAATTGGTGCTACTCACAATTAACACTCAGATTTTCCATTGGTGTGATAAGTCTGCTCATACCAGCCGGCTGCTGCTCTTTTTGTGCATCAGACACAGCCACAGGGAAGCCTACATGTATGTCCTTGTCATTGACTCGTGGTTCTTTAGATTGCAGAGTTAGTGGAGTCCCATTTGCCCTCCATTCAACTGAGCCTCCATCTTTCACTGTCTCATTCTTGGAATCTGGGATGTCTTGCTGTTCCCATGGAAACCTATTAACTTCCGTATTCGATTCATCCTGAAAGCAGCAAATAATGTCAGATTATGGTGAGGTACTGTGTCAAGTAATCTTTTGGAGTTGTAAGCCAGTTATGTACACAAAGGAGAATCCTGGGTTGATCTCAGCACATCAATGCAATTTCATGATTTTCTTGTCATATAATTTTGCCTCACAAACAATGGTGTTGAAAAGTTTAGTCTTAAATGATAATATATATCTCAAAATTCACAATCAATTAGAACACTCTCTTTCAATTTCGATGTCGTCAACTGAGGCAAAGTCTCCCCCCACCCAATGTGGGTTGAGTCTACTACTGCATACCTGCCAGATTAAATTCAATACCTATGCATTATTTCCTAGTCCATTACTTCCATTTGCTAAATTCTCGATCACGAATAGTGCGCCCCGACTCACTCCTCCCCCGCGAAGGCGTCGGCCATGTTCATCCACTTTTTCGATACGCGAAGTGCACCAAGGCCGAGTGGGAAGAAGGGAGGGAGATTGGTAATCTGGTAGGTATGCAGTAGCAGACTCAACCTACTCTAGGTGGGAGGGGGGAGTCTACTGTCTGCAACTTACGCAGATTACCAATACCTATAAGCAGAGTAGCACCGAACCAAAGGACGGTGGGAAGGCGAGGACGCACTACTAGTAGCCACCTTATAGTGGCCGCTTAAGTGCCTCCACCTGCAAGGGCAGAGGACGGTCTGCAATGTGTACGACCCCCCTGCCATCATCATCCAGGTAACAGGAGGTGAATGTGGTATGGGTTTCCAAACAAGGCTCTCAACAAATCTCTGTTACAGGAACCCCTTTGAAATAGGCCTCTTCTGATGAAACGGCCTGGACATCATGGGAAGAATTATCTGCCGCAGGTCCCATGCAAGGTTACACACGGTAGGCTGCACGTACCCAAACTAAGTTGTATTCACTGGAACAGCTCAGGGAGTGAAGGGTAGTCGAATGCGATAGTGCACTTCTGTGTTTCCCGGCTAAGGCGCAGCAAGGTACAGCGCTGCACCAGGGTGAAAAAGCGCCGAGTAATGGCCAAACAGCATTCTTTCATGCAGCAGTTCACCACTGTTATGCGCCGGGACCGTCCCTACTTGTAGACGTAAAGGATGACTCAAACGCGCTCCCACCATAGACGTGCTCACCAGAAAACCCCTGCAGGTAACGGCGAACCAACGACAAGGAGCCGAGCTGACTGCAGGGTGCTGAGTCATGCCCCGAACTGCCTGCTTAAGGGGTGTAATCGCACACCCTCCAATCACGAAGGAGCGGAAGCGGTCAGAACACATCGCTCAATACTCAAAGCAGCCCATAAGGTGAGACGTGCTCACCGGAAAACCCTTGCACAGATAATGGCAAACCAACACCGGGGAGCTGAGCCCACTGCATAGTGCAGAGTATGCCCTGAGCTGCCTGCGTAGGGGGTGTACTCGCATGCGCTCCGAACGTGGAGGTGTGGAGGTAAGCCAGACACATTGATCGATGCTTGAAGAAGCCCATAAGTTGAGACTCGCTCACTGGTGAGATCCCTGCGCTAGGGCAGCACCGAGGTCTGTTACGGTTTGCCAAGCTTTGAGCTGCGCGAGCGGCCCCGCAGATGGCAAACTCAGCTAAGCTCCTGAAGGCAGTTGTGGAGCGTAAGGGCCAGTGATGCTTGAAGCTTGATGAAGGCCCGCAGGGAGAGCTATAATGTATGTAACCCCCATCGGCACACCAAGGTCTGATACAGTGTGCCGAGATTTGAGTCACCCGGGCAGTCCCTTGAGTGGCACACTCAACTTCACTGCCAAAGGCAGTAGAGGAACAGGATTGGATCAGAGATACCGAATCTCAGGGCCCACAGGCACGCGGCTTAAGTACCAGATACCACACCAGTACCGCCCCTACAAGTTTGCGAATATCACTAAATGCTTGAAGAGTAAACCCGTGTGCTTGACAGTACAGTACTGGAGCAAATAAGGGTATCGCGCAGCCGTAACCCGGACCAGTCGATGGGAGGGAATAGTTAACCACGAACTGTCCTATTCCCTAGCTTAGCAAGGACTGAAACCAACGCAACACTATCCTTACTAATATCCCATATGCCCACATCTGTCATTTCTGCTCCCAGTAGTTTGACCCCGTATTCTGCATAGTGTATCACACATATCCACCTCTTTAGCTTTTTGTAAGAGGCCTTTAGATTGTCTCTCTCTCTCTCAAGATCTGGGATTTAATCCCCTCGATCTTTTGATGTCTGAAGACAGCCATTTCATTTTTGTGTCACCGCTGTTTAACTCGAGCTTAGGATAAAGGTTCGTTGTCAACGTCTCCGTTATTTTTCTCGTCTTTTTATTATATGCACGTTGTAAAAAACCTGTTGTTTGGTTTAGTTTTAAGTTTAGATCTTACAACTAAATCTAAAGTAAAAATGTTTAGTTCAATCAACATTACAACGCCTTTGTTGTTCATGAGTTCTCCTTACTCATTTCTAACAAAAAAGGTCAACCCTGTCTGTCTTCTAGGGTTTCAGGCATTTTACACACCTCGGGTGTTGAGCCTCAGAGCTCGTTATTTACCATGTGTAAGACGTCTGAAGACTATCCGTTGTGGAAGTTGGCATTGGGGTTTAACTGATTACAATGAATACACAAGTTTCATGGGGTTTAAGTCGTACTTGCCTTTGTAAATGATGTTGCATAAAAGTTTGACTTTGGGTAAGTTCAACACCTTAGACCCATCTTTGTTTGGCCTTAACTTGTGGTTGGGGTCCATGATTGCTACTGTCACCCTTTTAGACACTGAGTGAACTTTGACAGATATGCCCGGGCTAGAGTTTAACAAAAATTCAAACCAGTCCACGCTGTATTAGCCGGGCAACACCACAATGCTTTGTCTTTTGCCTTGGGGTATCAGTTGAGACGAGCTTAGGGGGTGAAATGTATCAAACACGGGCCTAATTAATCCAGTGAGAAAAAGCCTTTTGTCTACATCAGGGTCTCTGTTCCTGTTTCTTCTGGGTTGGTTTCAGTCTCTTGTAGGCTGGACTGGTTCCCCTCATAAATCTCTTCTAAGGCTTGTTTCTGACCTTCGTACAATGAAGCTTTTTTTTTAACTAATGATCTCTCCAATTAAATGTGCTTGCATGTCTCCTGTTTGTCTTTGACCTATCTGCGCTTCTAACACTTTAACTTCATGATTCAAGTGATCAATTTGAGCAGTGATGCATGTGTGCAGCTCTCCAAGAGTACCTTGTTCGTTTGCTTGTGACAGCGATTTTTTAGTTCTTTGTATCACTTTGTACTTGCCCCCTCAAGATCTTGCCTTGTAAATCTTGGTTTAACTTGTATTTTATGCGGCCTGCTTGGTCTTCTGTCAATTGTATCCGCAGTTGTTTGAGCACTTTGCTTGTTTTAGACTTGGGCTTTTTATAAACAAAACGCTGATTGTAGTGACCCCCTATGTTCTCAGTTCAAAGTCTACCTTCTTCAACTTTCACATACGCTTCTGGTGGAGGTTTTTATTCAACAAATTGCAAAGTTAGTTTGTAAAGCAATAACAAACATGGTACTGAGTCACTGCATATATGCAAATTGAACAGAATCGAAAATAACTCATAACAATAGACTGATTTCAAAGGGAGTACTCGGTTGATGAACACACACTTAGCTTTGTTTAGCACAACCAGCCTGGACCCAGTCTTGAGACTGACAATCGAGACCGGGTCCAGGGGGCTCGGGTTCTTAACAAAGCGCAACCAGCCTGGACCCAGTCTTGAGACTGACAATCGAGACCGGGTCCAGGGGGCTCGAGTTCTTAACAAAGCGACACGGTTGAGCATGTTTTACAGAGATGGGGTGAGTTTTTGAGGAGCTGTAGGCTGTAGGCTTCAGGAGCAGGAACCCAGATTCTTGATTGACTCAGCAACGATGGAGTGATATCAAGTTTTAGAGAGGTGGTCCCCAATCCCCAGATACCTACTACTCATGTTACAATCACATTTTGGTCATTTGGCGTTTAGAATTTTTAACTTGTCGCCAGAGGGCGCTCGACAATTCCATGACGTCATCAGTAGATGATTTGAAAAATGCTATACCCCAACAGACTAACATTGTTGAAAACAACTTGATACCTATTATCACTTTTAAACAATAAGCCCACCTCCAGTTTCGACTGGAAGGGTCACGTTTTGACCATACAAGATGAATTGAAAACCCAATTTTACTCTGGCACTTGCCACAAACAGAATGCTGGGGGAGGCCACAGTTGATTTTATAAGGAAATAAATTAAATTTATAAGAAAAGGAGGAGGGAAGGAAGAAGAGGAGGAGGAGGAGAATGCCTTTTCCTCAAAATTGAAAAAAGCCAAAAAAACTGGAAAAAATCTGAAGGAAAACAAGAGCAGTTTCACCAAAACAGCTAATCAAATGATGGTGTCATGTCATGCTTCGAGGCACATCTTAACTTGTAGACTAAGAGTGTACACCTTATAGTCTTAAGATGCCTTTTTTGCAAAAAAGGAAAAAAATAATTTGACAAAAAAGAATACCTTTTCTGAAACCTGTGGAAAAGCTAAAAATTCTGGACTAAAAGAATTCCTTTACGCAAAATGTGAAAAAGGAAACAATAGGCAATGGACAGCTTCATCTCAAGGTGTAGCAGAAATAGCCTCCCTTGGCGATCCACAGAGCATGGCATTTTCCCTCAGCTTCACCTCGGGAAAACAGAATGTTCTATGGATCACCTCAGGAGGCTCAGTAAGATTTGAGACTTTGCATGGTGGAGGCTAAGAGAGAAGATACACCATGTGAAATCAATATCTTCTGTATTAGAGAGTGGTGGTTCTGAGAGGAACTGGTGAGTGTAAACTTGACATTTTGACCAGGATGCTCTGGTCGTCCTCAATAGAGATGTCAGACTGGAGTTCAGCACTGACTTATATGGTGGTATGGAATCAGTGATGCCCGGAAGAGGATGATAGTGGAGGACTGGCTTGTGGTTGCTGGAGTGCAGAGTGGTGGATGCTGGATCCTGGTTGCTGGGGTGTGAAGTGGCTTGGCTAGGGCCCCTGGTTACTGAAGCGATGAGGGGGGTGGAACTGATGGTGGGATTGGGTGGGATTGGGTGGGTTTGGGTATTGGTGACCCTAAAATGGGGAGGGGGGCTGTGTGGACTTCAGGTATAGGAGCCCAGAATGTTGAGAGGTGTGGGGGGTAGGCGGTGCCTTGGCTTGTAGGAGTGGTCACTAGACGTCGCTGAGCTGGAAACCGATGTCTTGTGGGACAGTGTTGTCCTGGAAGATCTTAATGGCTTCTCGGATTCTTCTGGAGAGACAGTTCTTGATGGAGGTGATGATCTGCACTGAGTCCCAGTGGATGTGGTGGTTGAAGGCATGTGCGTGCTTGATGATGGCTGAGTAAATTATGCCAGCATTGGGTAAGTATCACACCAACATGCATAACTGTATTGAGCTGACAGGCAGTCAGCATTGACCCACATCAGTGGCCAATATCAGGCTGGTATTGGGCCAATAGTAAAATGTCTGCTGGGAATTTTTTTTTTTTACATTTAACACTTGTTCCGTTTTCCTGTCAACACTGGAATAGTATACTCTGTTCCCAAAGAACTACTCCTAGACACTCTGGAACCTTCTGGTATGGGGTTGTTTGTGAAGCAACTTTTATAATGACTTCCACTTACATGTTCAAGAGTCAGACATTCCAAAAATAAAATTCTTGAATTCAGTATAACAAATCATGACTCTAATTCAAGGAAAAATGTTTTACCGAGGCGGTTGCTTGTATTTTGAATTGCAAATATCCCAGTTAACAGCTCAATTTGAAATACTGAGACCATGCCAAGAAGCCCAACATCAGAAATGTCACATGTCAATTGATTATTTACCTGTTTTGCTGTCAATTCTCGCAGTTGCTTCAAGGTTTCGTGGAGACCAGTGAGAAAATCCTTTTCATACTCCTGATATTTCCCATCAATTTTCTCTTTAATTTCTTTAAACAGGGAGAAAACAATAAAGTAGATGCCATCAGAACAGACAAAAAAATGAAGTCGCCCTAAAAATTCCTCCCCCACATTGGTGTGGGTCAGGTTTCCTTGTGATGCTTACCCCTACCCACCCTACATATGCAAATTTCCCATGTGCCTATTACAATTCGCTGAAAGACTTGATTATGCATGCTACCCCTTTACCCTCCACAATGCACTGCGGTCCTGCCGCCATGTTCGTCCTTCTTTTCGAGGCGGAGAAAACCCCCGGAGCCAGAGTGGGGAAGGACGGGCAGGAGCGGCTGGGGTAAGTATCACTAGGAGACCCGACTCACACTAATGTGGGAGAGGAGTCTCCTGTGTTTACATACCCCTGCCCAGCCTACATATGCCGAGTGGCACCATACCCTGGAGGTGGGTCGGTGACAGGAGTGTAGTTACCAAAGAACATAGGCCGGCATCACCCAAGTGAACACTCACCAAAAATAAAAGGTGCCTTTGACGAAGAGTTCATTGTCCGGTCTGGGACAGTTCTGGACACTGTCCCGACCGCTGAGTGCAAGGTCGCTGTGCCATGAGCTGTCTTGCTCTGCAGGACTCGGTGAATGTGGAGGGGGATCTCCAGCAAGCCGCCAGGCAAATATCCGCCAGGGAAACTCCTCTGAAGTATGACCAGATCACAGATGTGGCCAAAACATCATGGGCTCTGAAGTGAGATTGGGTGGTCTCGTCATGTCGTGTCGGCCAGTCCTGGTTTGCAAAGATGACAGCCGAGACCGTCCATTGGGCAATGTGTCTTTTGCAGATGGATGAAAGGGCTTTGCCATCGTGATGAAGAGTCTGGAACCAGGTTCTTGGGGATTTTTGGTCCTAGCAAGATACCACTTAAGAGTGCGAACCGTACACCATTTCTTGTCAGAGTTATCTCCCAAAAGCGAGGCTTTGTCGGGGGCGAATATGTTGGGAGGTTGGAAGGTAGGCATCTGTTTTTTTGTCAAAAACTTGATGGCTGGGATAAGGCAAACCCTGTGTGGTTCCCAGCGGATGTGACCTTCAGCAGTTAATAGAGGATGCAGCTCACTGCCGCATCTGGAAGTAACGACCATCCAGAGGAATGCTAGTTTGACACTGAGACGGAGATCAGATGCATCAGAAAGTGGCTCAAAGGGGGGACCGGTAAGAATGCGTAAAGACAATCCCAAGGTCCCAGGATAGAACAAGGCATTTTACATGAGGACACTTGACAAACATTGTCCAAAGGAGATGGTGGATAGCAGCGTTATCAGAAACCGTTGATCCATTGCTGAACCCGGAATGAATGGCTGCTAAGGCCGATCGGTTGGCGAGCGTCTGTTGCCCAGTCCCAACGGTGAGGAAACCTGGGGCAGAAGGTCGGAAGATGAGTATTGTTGGCCGATGCGAAAAGGTTGACGTGGGGGCGCTCGATCTCTGCAAAGATCTGACTGATCACGTCCGGATGAAGAGTCCACCCCGTTGGGTGAACAGTGCCCCGGGAGAGAGCGTCTGCTATGGAGTTGGTTGTTCCCGCTATGTGAACGGCCTGGAGGGTGATCCCCTGATAGTTCGCCTATATGAAGATTTGCCATGTAATGACGCAAGGTTGAGGGGAGCGAGTGCCGCCTTGGTGGTTGATGTACGCCACCACTGTGAAGTTGTCGCTTTGGATTCGGACCAAGAGGGCTACTAAATATTGCCTGAAGTGGTGAAGGTTGATGTGTTTGTTGCGGAAGAGTCCCAAACCCCGGAGCAAAGGGGCGACCAATCGACAGGTGCTCGTTGACGGTCCACCACCAGGGGACCAAGGTAGAAATCAAGGTAGTCTGAGAAGACGGAGCAAGGCTAACGCCGGAGGAGCCTTGGACTGCAAAAACTTGAGGATGCATTGATGGAGATTGAGAATGTGTTCCAGTGTCAGAGCCGCAATGCGGGGCCTCAGTGAACTTCCCGGCGAAGAGATCGTCCCCAAGGAGCAGGAGATCCATGAGTTTGTTCCAGACGATTCGTAGGGGATATTCATGGCATCCATTGCATTGCCTCTGCGGCTAGAAGTGGCCAGAAGGAAGATACGATTGAACTGCTCAAAGACCAAGTTGAATCCCTCGTCGACCCTCGCAGAGCTAGGGCCACAAAGTCTGGGGAGACTGGAGCGTCTTCTTCATAGGCTCAGGCAATATTCTCTGATTGAAGGAGGAGGAAGGCTGACCATCGGAGGCTGAAGCAGGACGCTATATCTAAGCAACGGAGAACTGCTTCAAAGTTGGCCTTGTCCTTATCCCAGAGGGTATATGTATTGCGATTGCTGGAGTCGGACAAGATCTTGTCTCTGGCAGTGTCAGGGATATCTGGGGTTGACAAGAAGACACATCCTCTTGAGGAAAGCAGTAGTAGGACGCGGCCCTGGGAAGGAGCCACACACCAGCGCCTAGCTTTGCCAAGGGCATTCATCATCTCCACACAGGAACAGTCTAGGCGAATCTCCGGGAAGACAGGTTCAGCTGACTCAAGGCGTTAAGGGTGGTGCTTGAACGAAGTATGTACCTGTTAAGTCGGCATGGGATCTGACAACTGGAGCCCAAGGACGTGGATCATGTCGCGCTCAAGAAGGCAGAGGCAACCCTCCAGCTGAGTCGATACCATCATCCTGGGAGGAGACGGGCGAAAGGCTGGCAGAAGGAAGAGCCGAGCGGTGTTCCGGAAGAGTCACCATGAGGCGGGGCTTGCTCCGACGCCAGATCCCGCTGAGGAGACGATTCTAGTTGGAGAATAGAGGTTGCCTCAGTCTCCAAAAAGGCCCCATGTGAGGGAAGAGGGTCGGCCGGGAGGGGATCCGGGTCGGGTGCCATCACAGTTGGCTGAGGCTTAGAGTCTATCTTGCAAGCGAGAGAGGCGAAGGCCTCCAAGAGGGACATTGCCCACTTGGAGGGAGTTGACTGGCCCGACTTCCGAGCGGGTGCCGTTCGGCGAGCAGGAGCCAGTGAACGGCCCAAGGCGGACGGTAGATCGTCACCTCTCACGGGGATGCAGTAGGTAGCGATGCCCGGGACCTGCAGCACAGAGAAAAGGAATGGCTCATTACTCCGTGACAATCATGATCAAGGGCATTGTTGCGGCATAGCTCGCTCAACCTAATCCGTTGGTGTAGGGAGGGCGCCGATGACCAAGGGTAGTGTAAGAGTCCAGCACGCTCGGCTCGGTGGGTAAGTGGATGGAGTAGTCATCAGTGATCAAAGGCATTGTTACGGTACCGCTCGCTCAGCCCAATCAATCCTGGTAGTGGTCATTAGCGATAATGCAAAACCACACAACAAAGGTGCATAGTGTTGAGCCGTTATTGTTTGAACGCACGCACCACATAGAGGACAAAAGGCTTCCCGGCCCTGTTCAACGGCCATACCCAGCACAATGCATCACGGTAGGTCACACCCAAACCTGTATATGATGCACAGATAAAACGGGGCAGAAAAAACACAAAAAACATACCATGCAAAGAACGAAATATGAAAATAAGCACTCTTACCAAAAGATAAGAAATCACTCTTTATTTCGTAACAGGAATCAAGTCAATTCACAAACGCGAAAGGTCCGGAATTCCAAACTCCGAAAATGCCACAAAAGACATGTCTGTAATGATAGGCGCTGAGAAAAGAAGGATAAACATGGCAGGGGGACTGTAGTGCATTGTGGAGGGTCAAGGGGCAGCATACATAATCAAGTCTTTCAGCGAATTGTAATAGGCACATGGGAAATTTGCATATGTGGGCTGGGCAGGGGTATGTGAAAGCAGGAGAAATGTACCACATACTTGAACTGTTCATTCTTTTTTACCACTGAATTACTTTGTTTGCTTGGTCATTATTCATAATTTTTAAACTCAAAGGTATTCAGTTGATTATTTAAGAGGTGATATTTTTACATCAGTTGTGTAAAGAACTGAGTAAAGATTTATGCATATCAGAATTATTAAAAAGTTTCTGACATTCCGACAAGTAAATTTCAACCATCACCCAGTTATGCTTCTTATATAATGTCTGAATTATGATTGTCAGATAACAAAATCAATGAAATCAGATGTCACAGAGTGTAAAAGTGCAAGATCTGATTTTTTAAGTCTATTTTTCAAGTCCTTTTTCTAATATTTCTTAGTTCACTGGCACATTATAGCCAACCAACAACTGCATGAGGTACTTTCTTTTCAATGAGAAATCTGTGATCTTTCCTTTTTTATGAACAATGACATGTCAAGTCAGATCCTCTTGTTTGTTTTTGTTTTAAATTAAATAAAGATATTAACACCACTTCACGGCCTCTTCAGATTTAGTTGTGCACTTAAAGCAAACCTTGAAAGTCTGGTCGTTTCCTTGCGTCTTGATGCCATGATTGCTCCATCAACTCTTTCACAATGGCTGGTTCATCTGAGGGGATCAAAGCCATATCAGGTCTTTGACCCCGTGCTACCCCTGAAGAAATCAGGCTTGGATTTCCCTTGCAATCTGACACAAAATGACACGTTGTAATAAGTGAAGGTAAAACTTGCAATAATGGTAACAGTGATTACTCACTAAGCTCTCCCCATGAACCATGTTCTTTGTGATTACATGTACATGGTCTGGATTTGACTGCATGTCTAACAATTGCTCTTGTTTTTTTCAAGGTACTTCCAAATTCAATGAGATTTAGTCTAAAACTGTGTCTGCACTGGACTTTCTTTCAAGGACTTTACTGAGCTGACGGTAAAATGATGAATGTCGTGAACAATTGTGGGACTCGGTAAAAAATACACGTTATGTGTATTTTTTACCGAGTCCCACAATTGTGTTAGAAAACCTCCAGAAATGTCCATACCGGACTTAAAATAGGAAAAGTACCCATTGTTTTGCTCAGCTTGACCACAAAAAAGTTCAGTGCGAACAGGCGTTAAAATTTTGCCTACAATCTGATGCATCTTTTCTTTTCCCTTTGTGAGCACTAAAACATAATAAAATTATGATAGTAAAGTTGAAAACCCCTGTGGTTTTCAATTGGCTTTTTCATTATATAATAAATAGTGCCCTGAACAATAAACAGGGCATATATACTTCAAAGAAAAAACTAGAATATCGCACGTGAGTTATAAGTTCCACACTTTCAATTACAGTCGACTCTCGGTGATATGAGCTCCGGTAAGACAAGACTCTGGTTAAGACGAGTATATTTGCCAGTCCCAACTGAATTATGCACATTCCTATGAGGGAAAAAAATCCATAATACGAGCTCGTATGTTACGAGATTCCGTTTAAGACAAGCATTTTGGGGGCCCCAGCTGCGTGCAAATGTATTGTTATCCATCTAATTAGCACAAGCGTTTTTGAAGGCAACTTGTCAATCAGTCAATCCATTGAATTCAGAAAGGCGCTTAAGTAAGTGGAAGAAAAAAGCGCATCCCTCGCTTAATTTTTCACCAAACCCACGCGCTGTTTCAAATTAAAACATACAACACTCAATAATTTATTCGCCCTCTACTGGCCGATTCACACCACCAATGACTGGTTCCCGCCCTTTTTGTGCAACAAGTGCAGCACTGATGTTGATTACCACCTAAAATGTTAATGTACTTACGTGCGTGCGTTGTATGACGATCTCATCGCGGCGTGCTGGGGACGTAAAACGGCATCACTCCAACCATGCATCCTTCAACTCGACGTGACCGGTTTCTCCGTTCTTGTATTATGTTATCATTCTTTATTTTACGTCTTTATTCATAAAAAGTACAGTTACTTCTCACTTTCATAAACATAAGTTGTTTTGAAATTAAATTCCAAACCACACGTACGTGCATACAAAGTACATGTAGGCCTACATGTACAAGTATGTACAGGAAGTTGTACATGATGTACGCTTAACAATGCGGTCAATCGGTTGCACATGCGACAAGCGGGACAGCAGCTTTCGCGTAAGACGAGGTCCGGATAATACAAGCTAATTTAGAAAGTCCCAAGGCCCCCGTATTAATGAGAGTCGACTGTAATAAGCATTGTGACGTATTTAAATTTACGTTAAAAACTTAACAACCAAAGTTTAAAACCCTATTTGCTTGGGGATTACAAAGAAGTGACTGAAGAGCAACTTACTGAGGTAGGACTCCTGGTTAGATGACAACTCCCACAACATTATACCGAAGCTGTAAAATTTTTAAGGCACAATAAACAAGAACAAATCTCATTTCAGCCAAAGATAGCAACAAAACTACAAATTTGGGAGCAACAGTTGTTAGCCAGGTGGGAGCTGTGTTTAACCCTGACAGAACCAAAAGGTTTTTATAGGTAGCTCTTACCTGTATACATCATATTTTGTGGTGCATTTTTGATTCAGGTTCCTCAGGTTTTCAGGGGGAATGTGGGAGATGGTCCCTCCAGCATCTTTGAAGTTTGATGCAGTGCGCCATGTTGCTAAACCAAAATCAGAAACCTGTGTAGTGACAGCAAGAAGAACAGTAGAATAAATTTTGTCAGCTACATGTAAGGAACACTTCATAGTTTTGCTTCTGCTCAAAGGCAAGCAACAACAAAAGCAACCAATCTCTTTGCTGACCTCAAGAGGGAATGCTACAGTAAAACAGAAACTGAAAGTCCCATTTTTTTCTCTTACATTAATTTGGTGCATTTTTAATGTGAAACCTGTGACTTCTAGAAAGAAAATTATTCATTAAAAATAATAATATAGTTTGACAATGCTAATAAAAAAAGTGATTGTGTGGACTGTGTAAGTTAACAACTTTACTTGAAAAAAGTTCATTTCTTTATCACAAAACTCTGCAGGTTTGCCTACACAGCACAAATATGTACGATATCATTTACACACGATAGAAGCTCATGAGGAAATGTTACATGTACATTTAGAATATTAAAGATTCTTATCCTCTGTCCCACCCATCCCCACTGCGTACAGATTTTTTATTTTGCGTATTCAATCCACCAAAATTATACATGTACAGTATATGTATTGAGCTTGGTAAAATATTCTTGAGTGCTGGGATAAAATACATGTATTTATTAAGTCTTGAGAAAGTATTCTGAGTCCAGCAAAAGCTTTGAGTCTTGTGGAGAATATTGATAGTCCGATAAAACCTAAGTTCTTACATAGGGAAAATAAGGCGGGAAGAAATATTCTGAGGATGGAGATTTTTTATATATATTTCTGGTCCAGGATATTATATTCTAAGTTATAGGGAAAATATTCTGAACCTCAAAAAACTATTCTGGGTTCTCAAATGTGAGAGAACATTATATACAGGCTACAAAGAAAATCGAGCCCGTGGGAAAATTATTCCGAGGCAGAGGAATTAATTTCAGCACAGCCAAAACTAATACCTCATGAATACATGTACATTCGAGCCCCATGGTAATTTAACTGGGTTTGTCTCCTCGTAATCAAAAGTGCCAACTACGGTATGCGGTAAGGGAATATGATAACTGATGTTGTGACTGCAGAATTTTGTTCCCGCCAATGACCGACACTGTCTTAAATAGCTGATAGTAGGGGTAGCGGGCTTTCAACTTTTACAACCAATGATAATTGAGAATATGTAGAGCTTATATATTGATCGGTTTCTGGTTTCTTGTTTACGTCTCGGGGATTGGTATGCTGACAGTTGAGCTTGGAGGAAGGGGGTTGATGACTATAGTTTGATAAGCTACATGTACATGTAGGAGGGCAGTTTATTCGGTACACAGATGCCAAGCATCAGGCCTCCATTTATACAAAGTAATACATGGTAAGCCTTCTGTTATGCCAAAAAGCCTTGTTGTAAGTGGACAATTGTGACAACTCCAAGATTTTGTTTCACCTGTTGGCAAAACTCAAAGATGCTTTTTTTTTCAACAGAAAGCAAAAGCCTTTAATGAAAATTGCCAACATCAGATAAGTGTCTGTGATTCTGTCGGTGCACCACGGCTGCCTACAAGTACAAGTATCCAAAATTCAGTCATCCATGAGAGCATTACGCCAATCTGTATGTACCCTTTGTTATGCAAGGACACTAAGTAGGTCAGTAGCGCCGAGGGTCGGGCAGCCAGGGCGTGACGACCCTTGGCGCTGTGAGGCGCTGTGCCTAATAAACATTCACTCTTTGTATAATTCAATAAAATTGGAAAAAAGTATGATTGGACCATTGCAATTTCACTTTGTTGTCTGCTAGTTTACATTGTCATACTTAGTGGTGCCTTGTTGTGTTCCTTCTTTCATTCTACTTTGCTCTTGTATCCCATCCCAATCTTTCTCTTTTGTTGATTTCTTAAATGGAGTTCAAATATCTGTGACTCAAACTGATTCAAGTGAAAATTTGACCAGACTACATGTTGTGACTTAACCTGGACTTCTTTATCTAATGACTCAATTCTCTTTCTTAAAATTACTTGTTTCAACTCAATTCATAAAACTCGATGACTTGCGACAAAATCAAATAGCGGAACTACATCCACAATTCGAGTGGCCATTACAAGTGTTGAAAGAAATTATTTTACGCAAGTCTGACCCAGGTCATATGCAGCGGCCTAACTACAGGGGGGGATGCAGGAAGGGGGAGTCACAGGCATCCACAGGAAGGGCACGTGTTCCCCCTCCCTGGGTGTCCAACCCCCATTTGAATCTTTGAATACTCTCCATTGAAATGGAACGGCAGCTTATTTTCTTATGATGCCCCCTCCCCTGGACATTTAGCCCTAGTCACGTTACTATTCAAAGGGCACATGAATTAACAAGCAATGACCCAACTCTCTAGCTTATCTGACATACCTTCACTACAAGATGCTCATTAACTAAAACATTTTCCAGCTTCAAATCACGATGGATGATAGGTTCCTTCTGGGTATGCAGAAAGTTCATCCCAAGTGAGATATCTTTAATCATCCGAATCTTAACTGCATTTGGGAATGTCCCAAGCTTCTTCTGGCAGGACCTCAAGGACCCATGCTTCATGTAATCCATGGCTATACAGCAGTCAAAAGGCTTTACATCTGGGATGATGCCTCTAATTGAGACAATGTTTTCATGCCTGGCAACTTTGGTCATTCGCTCAATTTCTCGTCGCACATGTTTTTTGTCCTCATCTGACAATCGCGTACTGTGGAAACAAAATAATGAGATAAAAAAGAAACAATGGTGAGGCTTGAATGTATGGAAGAGGTAAACAGGTGTATTTGATCAGTTGAACAGACATACATGTACAGAGCCAATGACATGAGCCACATGTAAGAGTATCAACTACTGTAAGTAATGGCCATTAATGCAGTTACAGTGTGTTCCACAATATAAAGTACTTGTAGTTCAGTGAGAAAAATAAAGTGTGTGTCATTTCATGATCATTAACAGGCTTAGGAACTCTGTCAAACTGTACTGTTCATTTAATAGACATGAAGTCATGTCTAGAAACTACCAATCTTACAAGGCTCTGTCTTTTGTTTGTCTAGCAACCTTTTGTTGGGTAGGGCAACTGGAATGGCACTGGCTACCAACTCACAGATATTTCATTTCTTCACAATGGAATTTCATCAGATCAGTGCAGCTATTTTTTATACAATTAACAACTGCAGTTGGTCTGTTAGAATGGAATCTGGTGAAAAAGTCATGCTAATAAAGAACAATGCCTTGACACAAAGTCTATTCTTCTCTCAAGAAGATGTGGGCACCCAGTCCAATCAGGAAAGATAGCAGAGGAACAAGGCCACTATCTTTGTTGGATGGGCAATCCATGAGGGTGATGATATCAGCCTGGAGATTGATCTCCTGCCTGTTGACATTGGCAGTCAGCTGAGTGCATCAGTGAGTGCCACTGACGTGACTGAGGAACCAGGCTTGCATTTGATGGAAACACTGTCACCCCTATCAGGGCTGAATGTTCCAATTTCAAAATGATTTTACACACACCGTAGTGTTTACAAGCAGTCCCAACAGACACAGGTGGTGCACCTGGTCGGGTGTGGATGGTGAAGTCATGGAATTTTGTGATGCAGAAGACGAGTGCAGGAGTTACACACTGACGAATATCTTGGACAAAACAGATCTGTGTGAGTTCTTCTTGAGTCATTCACACAAGTTTGCAACACCAGACAAATACAAGTAGCTAAGGATAGCCATAAAAGTTGGTATATTATGTTAAACACAGTCTGTCAATCTGCACAATTGCTCAATCTTTGCACGATCTGTTGGTCTCATTGAATAATATGCTGATAATTATCAGCTGATCTCCTTTATTTTTATTTTAGGGTTATGGAAGATTGATTTAAAAACAGAAGTTGAAATGGAGATTTCATACAGGATCAACTGATGGCATAATGTGATCACATGACTGTGCTGATAGACAAATACCTTTCAAAATACCTGGTACAGTATGTATGACCATTAGAGGATATAATTATCATAAGTACATGTCTTGTGAACCAACATCGTAATGAATGCATTTATGTACATAAGAGAAAAGAAACATGCACAATAGGGTGTTTCCATGCAATATCCCACCTGTACATTCACATGCATACGAATACCGGAGGTCATATACCATGACATGAACCACTTTCAAACATATTGAGAGTGTCAGTCTATAAAGCAATATGACAATGTATGCTAAAACAACATGTACATGAATGTGTGGTGGCCCTCATGAAGATACTTCATCAGTTGATCCATCATGAAATCTATTGATCCGGGCACTACCATCAAGTGAAAGACTGCTTTAAGCATGACATTTCTTGCTTGGCCTGGTACATGAGCAACCTAAAGATATTCGACAGGATTTGAACACAATGGCAAATGATGGCAAAACACACTCAATTTCAACAAAGTTTTTATCATTACATTCAGACAAACAGGTTCCTTTTACTTTCTTGTGCAAGTTAGAGACCTACAAAGTCTTTTATCCGTAACTGTTTGAGAAAAGGGGGTCTGCTCTAGAGAGTCATGTACATGTCTGCATGCACACAATGAACCAAACTCACATCACATGCTACTTCCAGGTACATGTATGTGCGATGTCGAGAGCTAAAGCAGCACAAGCTGTTACATGTAGGTGAGGGCAAAGGTCACGATGTACAATCAGTGAAAGATGCCTAAACAACAAATTATTGCAAAAGATAATTCACTGTTTAATTCAAATACTTGTATCTTCACAGTGACCTCAATGTATCACTGGAATGAATGTGTGGAAAAGCACACTTTATATACAAAGTTTCTCTTTAATTGGACTTGAATACATTTAAGTGCCAACAATTACAGCTGGAAGAAAGATACAGGTAAATTTGTATACAAACAAATATTTTAACAATGTAAAAATCAGTTGATGATGTCATAATGTCACTTCAGAAATATAATCATGGGTTGACTTTCTACCTACTCAGTGAATTTCATGTCAAATAGACTTTGGTACGGGAATCCAAAAGTGTCCATTTTGATGACATGATGATGATGTCACTTCAGAAATACATGTATAATCAGGGGTTGACTTTCTACCTACTCAATGAATTCACATCAATTAGGCTTTGTCTGGTACGTGAATCCAAAACTGTACATTTTGATGACATCATTATGGCATCACAAAAGTTTTCAAACAACCTAAACATCTACTTGGCCCATCCACTGTCTTGCAAAAACAACTTGGACAACACCTTATTTTGTTTACAAGAAACAATGAATGTCAAAAGGTATCAAGTTTGGGTGTCTCGTTTTTCTTTCTTTCTTTGTAGCCTCCAATTTCAATATGATTTTTATGTACATTCTAGGGGATAAGGTTAAAATTTGAAGTCAAAATGTTTGTACCAGATGACTTGATTCCAAAGCTTCTCTCAACAAAGAAATTCAGTATTTTTTCAACAGACCATTGATGAAAATTTCAGAGTATTATTCAACAGACCTTTAAAGAACCATGAGTTATGAACCCCCAAGTTCATTGTTATCAAACGGCTCTATTTTGTAGAAGCTGTTATAGCAGGTTGGGCACTGTCTCACATGCCAGAGCACTCACTACATGTACATGCCAAAGGTGTAGGACCTGTCAGCTCAACCAGATAGTTGCCTATGTGTTTAGATTGGAGATGAGACACTTTTACTTTAAGATTTTGTACCAGCTTGGGCAATCTTTGCTGTGTGAAGCCTGTGCTGTGTGGGCACTGACAGTTCCTGAAATTTCTGTGTGAAATTCGGTGCCACTTAGCACTCGTGTAAGCCTACCAGTATTTGGGCATCCTGTGGGGAACTTTTAGAACAGGCAGACAAGTGAGTCAAGAAGCGATGGAACTCAGGCAGGACTCCCTTAAGGCTGGCCACAGGCTTCTGGGTTTCAGGGACATCATTTGCCAAGATGTTAACCATTCGTAAAGAGTGCAGAAACATTTACCAATTAAAACTCCCAATGGAAGTTTCAAGAAATCTCAACAATGAAAGATTGCCAAAATTAGCTGTGGCACAAGAAAACAAGAGAGGGCTCAGGTCACAGTTGAACCAAATCAAAGACACGTTCACTAAGGTGTTAGGCAGTGGCACCAGATTGGGGGCAAAATAAGAACGATGTTTAGGGAACAAGGCCTTACGATCATTCCTGTTAGAAGCCCTCTGCCTAGCAATCAGTACCATTGTGAGTTCTGTAGTTGTTGCCGTCGGGGGGTTGGGGCTCCCGCTCCTGAACTGACACCCGCCCCTCCTAAACCAGGTATTAAAAACTTGATCCAGTGACAACTGGAAAACTTGGCTCACGTGCTCAAAAACTCGGTTTTTCGGTGTTGGGTGCCCTACTGGGGGTAATTGGAAGTGTGTCGTGTTGGTTGTTTAACCTTGCAGGCAATGCAGTAGTTTGGTTTGCCAAACACACGTGGGCTTTATTTAGGGGTTGGGCGCATTGGTGCTTGCTTGGTTGAATAAAAAAAACTGGATTATGAAACCAAAACGATCCCATAAAGTTCTTTAATTTTTGTAGGGTAAGTGAAATCACAAAAGAAAAGTGACACCAATAGCTAATGCCGCGATAGAGGTAATTTTTCTTTGTTGTGTACTTGGCATTAAAATATGATCTTTTTTGTTTTTTGGTTTCTTTTTGCTGTGGTAACTTAGGTTCTTTGGTTTCAAAATTTTAAGTAGGATCTTCAGGCTCAAAATAACTGTAAGGTTGATTTAAATCAGCTTGCAACCCCGTTTTCATGCCTGAAGTCAGAACTTGCAACTTGTTGTTGTACATTGTAACACTCGAACTTTCGGAATCTGAGATCCATGTCAGAAGGAACCAAGTATAATCCAGGTATAATCACAAAGTTCAAAGGAGTTTGGTGTATTGCAACAAGTCTTGAAACTGGTTAATCAATTGCTCCAGGTTGGGTTTCGAGTTTATAAGACTTTCTACAATACTTAAGAAATTGTTGTGCATCTAACCTCGTTCCAGGAGCCAACACACTGGTTTTTGTTTGAGCTTACATGTACATGCTCCTTACATGTACAAAGCATTTATTATAGCCCTTATGGATTCATTGACCTTTGTAACATATACATTGGTGAGGCTCGACATCTGGGGTATAAATCCCACCAGACATTTGTGATGGAGTCAGGCTTCTTGATCCAAGTCACAGTATACATGTAGGTACTCACATGACCAGATCCTTTTGGTGGGCCGGCCAATCCAACTCCCATGTATATGTAAGTGGCATCTAAGTATTTTCCTTGCAAATGTAAATCGTGATTGTCATAGTTTTTACTGAGAACTGGAATGTATCCCCCATCCTAGTAAAAAGCAGTGCCCAAGCTGTTTGACATGGTGTCTCAAGTTTGTATCAATTAAAAGACCTGGTTTCACTGACATTAAAAAGGCGGCAGGTGTCAACAAATGCTCTGTTGTTGTAATTGTTGTTTAACATGTCAAATACCCAGTATGAGTACAGTCACGTCATATAATATTTACAAACGGTAAAGTACAAGTGAAATTGAAACAAGGCTGATATGTAAGGGTTTTGTCATTGAGGAGATCCCAACCAACCCCTACGTACATGTACAAGCCCCCGATGCACAGTATACCGCAATATTAAACTGGTTTTGATAAAACAAAAAGGATCGCTGATCCAATGGTTTACAGCTTCATCCGTCATTACTCGAGGTAGTTTGTATGCCTTTGTTAAGTTGGGAAACTCGGCCAAAAAAGTTGTCTTTGTTTACGACTATAGCCAAGTGACTGAAATTAGACTTATAATATCTACTGCAGAATTAAACGGAAACAGCGTGGTGATGTTTAAAAACCTAATAACCAATTTTATTGGAGCTTACGAGGCAGGAAATCAAGAAGAATTTAGTGATACCATTCAACAGAAACTAAATAACTTTGATGCACAACAGCAAAGTTTTAGAGAAAAATAAGAATGTTTTACAGAGCAGCAACAAAACATGATCAATTTCATGAAGCTTTTGAATATAGAAACAAAAAAATATTTTGGAAGCTTGCTGCATAGCGTTACAGTTTATTCAAGAAGGATTTATAGACAATACCAACAAAACTTAACAAGAATACCGGTAATTAGATGCGCTCAAACAGAACCCAGAGATGCTATTTCAGTTATGGGTTTCAACAGCTTAATCATGCAACGTTTACACACAGGTACCTGGGTGAGTTTTTGCTGCTGCCACCATAAAGTGACATTTGATAGCAAATAAGAGTGTATGTGGCCCAGGCCTTGTCCAAAGTGGGAGGTGTTCATTACAACTGTGTGCATGCACTGAATAACATGATCTTTTTACCAAACAACACGTACAGTACATGTATATCTTCAACGTACCTTTGTTTGCAAACTTTAACAGCTAGTTCACCCCACTGGATATGGTGTGCCTTGTAAACTTCTCCAAAGCCACCTTCCCCAAGCTTGCGTTTGCATGTCAGAAAGTGTTTGGGTATTTCTGGTAACTGGGTTGAAAATTCTGATCTGTTAGCGGAACTTTCAAACGCAGAAGCCATGGTGTGCTCAGTCTAATGGAGGATGCAGTCAAAGGATCTATAGCAAAAGTGAATAAAAATGAAAGTGAATAACATTAACAACTCACATCCACAGTTTACAAAGCTGTCAGGGTACACGTAAGTCCATGTCCAAGAGTTTGCTTGTCTTTGCATAAGTGATTTTCACACAGTGAAACTATATACATGTAGTTTCCGCAGTCAATGGTAAGTGGCAAAATCGCTCACATTGTTGCAGCTAAACCCTGGCAACCTTTTGGACAAGCTCCCAAAATCTTGTCAAATGAGGTCTTAAGTACATTTTATTCAAAATTTTCTCATTTTTAAAAAAATCAAATGACAAATACAGCCATAATTAAGCTTAGCATGCATTTCTCAAAACCCTGAGTAGTCTGAACAAAATTATACATGAACATGTACTGTGCTGATGTGCCAACTTAATGAACATGATGAAAGCATGTATTTGTTTATACATGAACTACATGTATCTGGTTTCTATCAATTGTAGCATGTGGAACATCAGGGTGATCACTAGAGAATGAAGTACATGAAAGCTGCACCATTACGTTCCTTGTAAAATGCACATTTTTTCAAGAATCAAAATTTTGTTTCAGTCGTACTGATACAATAGCTCTCGTCGTATCATTTGCTACCACAAACCATTCAGAGCTGGAGTTTGAGATCGACTGTTACATCTCAGGCTTTGATAAGAAAGCGGATTTATTTCCCATGTGAAAGTTGAATTTTTATGGATTGCAGGCATGAAATGAATTGTATTTGTTCATTTAAATTTTCAAAAATACAATTTTTCAAATGGATCCATCTTTACACATGTACATGTATGTACACGTAAGACTGGGCAGGAGCTGCATGTGCATGTATGTGTTCACAGGTTGGACAGCAGTACTGGGCCTGTGAACAAGCTACAGTACATGTATCTTGAATGTTGAGGTTGAAAAAATATCGGTAGGTGAGAGGGCACTAGCGCTCAACAATTAAGCTTGTCATATCTGTAAAGACCAATATTAGGGAACGTCTTCAAGCTTCACATCAGTAACACCAGTACAGGTACATTCATGT